GAGGTAATATTTTTCGCAATAAATTTATTAATAGTTTTTATAGATTAACATCTTTATAATATGATGCTTGATGGTAGCATTTAAATTTATTAATAGTTTTTATAGATTAACATCTTTATAATATATGATGCTTGATGGTAGCATATCAAATTATTAAAATTGCTTGTAAATTTAATTCGCGATTACTAGAGTAGTTTTAATTACGTTTATTTAGTCTGGAAAAACAATTCGGCGCGCAGTTTGAAAAAAAGACTACAATATGGTATATATGCAAGTACATATATAGTATATATTAGTAATTCAAGATTGAATTATTTAAAGCAACGAAGATCCAGCTCCGACCGTAATAGGCAGTTACATTCTAGTATTAATTGAGTTTCTCAAATATACGGTCAAAAAATATAAATATATTATCGTTACTAGTTACCAATTTTTAAAAGTAACTCGTTACAGTTACCGTTACTTCAGAAAGTAACTTTTTGTTACTTTTCCGTTACTTTTTTTTAAATTGACGACCGCCAATCACAGCGGACGGGCCTAGGAGCTTCTCTAGTCTCAATCGCTATGCACTGTTCGTTACAGTTACCGTTACTTCAGAAAGTAACTTTTCGTTACTTTTCCGTTACTTTTTTTTAAATTGACGACCGCCAATCACAGCGGACAGGCCTAGGGGCTTCTCTAGTCTCAATCGCTATGCACTGTAAAAAAATTGTGTAAAATTACAACTATTATACTAGATAATTTTGAGACCCACTATAATAGTTGTAAACGTCCACACTTTTGTAAATTTGCAATATGCAAATAAAAATAATTTCTTGGTTTATAACTAAGCAGATTATGGAAGTACAATTACAATATGTATGTGTAGTTACAGGAACGATAATATGACAATACATTTCGCACTATATATTATTATACATTTAACAACACATGCGAAAAATTTCTGTTATGTAATATTACTAAAATTTAGATAATTACAGAAAATATTCAAAATATCCTGCTATTTATATAATTTTCAATATAAAATAAGATATATTTATACAATAAAAGCAAATTTACATAATTTGTGTGGAATTACATAATTTCTATAAAATTACAGGATTTTTTATATTTACAGGACTAATCATGTAATATTATACTATAAGTGGTTTGTGTCATATCGTGTCCAATCATATGCAAAGTAATGATAAAAGTAACTGTAAAATTTGTTACCGTTATCAAAAAAATATAACTTCGTTACCGTTATCAAAGAAAAAAAGTAACGCAATTACTAGTAGTTACCAAAAAAGTAACTTGTAACTGTAACTTCGTTACAAGTAACGAGTTACTTCTATTTCCTGAATTAATTTTATCATATTAGAGAATGTGAAGACATTATACCTTGCTGCATAAACGTAAATACAGTATGTGTGAAAGCTGACAAGAGCCAGAAGGTCTGCAACGATGGATATTTGAAATGTAATGCCGAGCCTTCCAAACAAGAGCAGTACTTCGAACGCAAGATCCAGAAGTGGCTTTAAGAATATTAAAAATGTCCACCAGAGCTGTATATGATACAAGAAAAACTTGCCCATAGTATTGTTTAAAGCATGATTAAGCTTTAGACCAGCTGGTACACCCATCAACCAATTAATTAGCTCCTTCAAACTTTCCACGACTTTCTGTTGAATAGAAATTCCAGTTATTAAAGCTGGTAGAAACAGATAGAGCCAAAAATGTATCTCAAATATGTAATATTCAATTTTGTATAATAGAAATTAAGCCTTTTATTTTTTATTTTTCTTCTTTGTTTCAAATTAATTTTAATTTTGAGATCAAATTTGTTAAATTAAATAATTTAAATTCAAAATATATTTAATGAAATTTGTACTAGAAAGAAATAAATATAAAAAATTATTTTGTTAATATACATAATAAGTACATCCAAACTTGCCTCTGCATTGTTTAGAAGGAGCTGTGATGGCTGATCTTTGATATAATATTTCAGTAATTGCAATACGAAGATTCCTAGTGCCATATCTATTACAATTGCTAGAACATAGTTTCCTGTTTTCAGTTTAATGCCCCTATTTCTCATAATTGTTGCTAACATCCACTTGACATTCTCAAGCCAGTCATGGATATGCAAGCCAAGGGAAGAGTACTTCAAAATCGGCAATAATCTGTCTGTTACCTTGGATAGAAACAAGACAAGGTGCAAATAAAATGACATGTGATAAGTCAGCAGAGTTTCCCAAATGCGAACAAATCTAGACTTGATTTTCAATTCGTCCTTCTTGCTCTGTACAAGCTTAGCTAGCTCGTAAAAGTGATCGCCCGACGTTGTCTTACTCTCAAACAATTCTGTTTCCTGCAAAGCCCACTGGTTATACAAAACAATCATCGTACGCATTGCTGATAGATCAATTTTTTTATTGTTAAGAATGATTTTCAATAGACGATATTCTTTGTCTTGTCCATCCTCTGAAAGCTTTGTCACAATGTGTATCCAGTTTGCATGCTTATGTTCTAAAAATTCGTCAATAGCCTCGTTCTTATTGGAATGATATCCAATAACATCTAACGTAGACTTAGTTAATTCTATTGGATCTGTCTTACGCAAACTGATGATGTAGAACTTTTTTAAGTCACTGCAGGTGTCATGTATTACTTTACCAAGTACATAGCCGGAATTTTCGGTGCACAGCGTTTGTGGAATGAATATTAACAAATTACTCGCCATCTTTGCAACCAAAGATTATCCAGTCAAGTAAGTCTGTCGAAAATAAATTTTGTCAAATGATCGCTATATAAATTCTATTATTTTTAGTATCTTTTTTCTTATCATTTCCATGTTACAAGAGGCACAGCATTATTCATTATTCAGTCGTTTTAAGAAATACTTTTCCTGATAAGAGGAAATATTTTTCTATACAAAATTCTTTTGTATTACATGTAACCATATAGCAGAAACGAATCCGAGTCTCTTGGAGCCTCTTTCACTTATTTAGCAATTACTTTACTAAACTCAAGTGGACTATCTCAGCCTATAGTTGTAAGAATTGACCAATCACAGTCTAGTATGAAGAGAATATTCAACTGTGATCAACTGTGATTGATCAATTTTTATAAATTGTAGAACGCGATTGTGGAACGAGCTGTAGGTTAGATCAGGTTAGGTTTGATTAGAGTTTAGAGTTAGATTAGGTTAGTCGCATCTGTCGACCGCATGGCATGGCGTGTTTTACATTCATCTAGTTTATCATAGTTTATCGAGTAGAGAGTAATGTGTTGAATGATATAATCGTGGGTGCATAGATGAGACAAATTTAAAAGTGTCACTCTCATATCCGCTGCAAAATGGATAGCGATAATACGAAGAAACTGAAGCGTAAAAGGAAACAGAACGAAAAGGAAAAGACCGACGGTCAGTTGCCAGCAATTCTAAGATGGATTTGTTTGTTTCTCTTAATATCTCTCACTCTTGTCGTTCATCTGCGAATTATTGGATTCATTTCTGTATAGCATTAATCTTGTTAAAATATTTTATTATTAATATAGACTCTTTCTGTACATCTGTATATATGTAGTAAATCAAAATAGTATTATTTTTTCTAAAAAGAACAAAAGATTTTGGTAATTATTTATTATTAAAAATTGCCCTATTAGTAAAAGGAAAAATTTAGCATAAAAATTAATATTAAAATTATAGTAGAAGAAATTAAAATAAGAATAGCTACGAGCCAAAACAAACAAATTTTAATGTACATATAATAACGTTGACATTAAACATAAAAGTAAAACAAAATAAAAATATATGCCTACCTTAAAACTAACGTTTCGACCATCTTCGAGTCATTATCAAAATTCTAAACTAAATTGTATATAAATATCCGTTAAAATAGATTCACATAAGTAAGTAATCATAAAAGTAAAATGCCGAAAAATTAATTTAACATAGACCTTTGCTGTTTAGGCCTTGATATCAATTATATATAGTTAACAGAAGGTAGATCACGAATTTGCCCCAAACAGTCAGATATCGATGAGTATCCAACGGCGAATATATGTAGTTGTCAAACATTAAATCCAAGATATACCTCATCGTTTGATGACAATAGATATTGACAAAATATAACAAAATTGTTAAGTAAACCAAAGTTATAAGTCCATTCTCATAATAAGTTAATTCAGATTCTACAGTATAAATTAAAAATTATAAGAATAAACGTATATAACATTTCGTTACCAACAAAGTATGTAAAATGTATAATCTGTGTGTAGTATCAAATTCAAAAATAAAATTAAAAAATTTTTTTACAAAACGGTGTAACAGTACAGAACAATAAAGTGAAATATGCAAAAAGTTAAAATTATCTAAATGTGTCACAACGTAAAGTAAATAAAAGAAAAGAAAAATACCTTAAAAATGCAATGCGCAGTCAAATATAATAATATAGTAATGTCAGAAATCTTTGAGTCTGTGATTAAAACAATATTATATATAAAATTAAAGCAAACTTGCGACGAGAATCATTCTGTATTGTCAACCAGAAAGCAACGACAAAAGACGACCAGTAGAAAACCAACAAGAAACCCATGTAGAAGGGGAAAGAGATTGTATGATAGGAAGGTATGACTCCGGTAAAGCTTCTGTATCATTATGCCTGTTTAAGCCCTGTCTCTGTCTCTTAATGTGAACCATTTCAGAGATTAAACTGAATTAAAGAGTTTATTATAAGATGGTTCACTATCCAATATTCTAATGTCATTCCAATCGAAATTATGATTACACGTAGTTCTATGGTCCGAAATGACCGAAGGAGACCCCGATTTCTTTCTGATGTCCGGTATATGCTCCTGTAATCTAGTTTTAAGTCTTCTCTTAGTCTGGCCGACATAACTAGCCTCACAATCCTCCCATGAAATTTTGTAAACCATACCCTGATGGGACAGAGAATCTAATCGATCTTTATATAGTTCTTCAAAGAATTCGGAATTATGTAAGACAGTTTACAGCCAAGTTTGTATGCTATAGGCAAAAAAAACTCAGAAACACCCCTAATGTAAGGGTATAGTAAAATATTTTTGTGTGGCCTTAATTCTTTTATTCAAATTAATATCAAAACTATTATTATTATTATAAATATGATAATTTAATCTCTTTTGAATTGTCGAAAAAAATAGAGTCTAAAGGGTATCCGTTTTCTAAAAAAAATCTCAATAGTTTCAGTTGAATTTTTCTGATGAAATTGTGGATGAGACAGTAATACAATCCTATTAACCGCGTCAATAATGACACCCCGCTTGTGACAAGACGGATAATGAGAACAAAAATTGAGGAATCTCCTTGAGAATGTAGACTTATGATATTTATCAAAAATAATTTTACCTTCGTATTTTAATTTCTTCTATTTAAATTTCTTGAGCCATTCTCTATTATGCATTAAAATTATGAATATTATACGAATAGAAAAAGTTCAGAATATGTGAAAAAATTCTAGGGAGATCTGATAAAGAATAAACTTTAACAAATGTGAGGTTTTACATTTTTACATTTGTTGTTACATTTTTAAAAAGTTTTTCCTTTTTCTTTATTAAAAATTTTAAAGGAATATTCAAAATTAATTATAAAATATATCTACATATATACATATGTATTAAGTAATATTATGTAATAAATGTTTTTACAGCTCCCAAGAACAATAATCACAAAACTGACAAGACATCTCAAGAGAATATTGTACAAAGTAATCAAAAGAAGAAAAAAAGAAGATTGAAGTCGAATGAAGTCAGGTAAAAAAATCTAAAATTTCTTCTTTCTGATATAAACGAAATTATTTTTAAGTTAAAATTCGATATAGAATATTTCACAATAGCAACTATATTAAGTCACATATTAAATAAATTACTAAATTAAATTATATATTAAAATATTAAATATACTAAAATTACAAAATAAAAATTATAATATTAAAGTTTTTTATATTACAAAATTTATTAATAAATAATGACATATGAAGATTTGATTAAACAATTTTTTTAGTAATGATGCCACTACCGATATTGAGACTTCAAAATCAGTATTATCTTCAAAGGAAGCTTCAGATGAGAATGTAAAGACTGCTAAGAATCCATCTAAAAGGCAGTTAAAAAAAGAGAAGGCTGTCCAGGCAGCTGTTAAAAAGATGGAATCTCGTAGATCGCATGCCATGCAAAAAGCATTAAACTATATATCCCTGGTAAGTTGTTAATTGTTTGAATCATTCGTTAATATTTAAAGACTTGATTCTGGAATACCTTATATAAATACAATATAAAAACGTTTTCTTCTGTTTGCATAACCATCTGTAAGCATTTGGACAATTTATTGACATTTATAAAAAGAACATAAGATTAATAGAAGATGAACACATACTGTTAATTCTAATAATAAAGTTTTATTTGTCTTTCCTTTTTATTTATGATTTGATGGAGATAATTAATTGTTTGATTAACATTTTTCAAATTGATAAAATTATTTTTACAGTGGAAACATTCTAGGAACGAATGGAAGTTTGAGAAACTTAAGCAGATCTGGCTGATGGATAATTTGTTAGATGAGAATTCCATCTCTGATAATCTTTTTCCTATCGTTCTGGAATATTTCGAAGGTTGTAAAGGCATGGCACGCGAAGTGTTATTACGTAAGGGAATGGAAATTATAAGGAAAGCTGAGGCAGAGACAGTCGAAGATAACAAAAATGAAATTATGATGTCAACTGCTTATAAGAGAGCGAGACAACTTTTACAGACTTTACCGACTGACAAGTAGTTTCAATTTTAAATAATTTTAAGATAAAATAGATAAAAAATTGTTAAGAAGAGCAATTCTTAACATGTAAGATTCGAGAAATAGCGAACAACTTGAACTTTCTTTTTAAACAATTTTTAAGAAACTTGTGCGAGTAATTTACATACATTTCTCGTACTATTATGTAATTGTGTAGTGATGACTAATCTGGACTTCAAGACTATATTAAAAGCAGGACTAAGAAAAATTTCAAACATTTTATTTGAGATTAAAATGAATCATATTTAACTGACATAATAATTATACAGGTTACATTAATTATTAATTAATAAAAAATAAATATTAAATATTTATTTAAATTAATTATATTTAACTAAATATCAAACTATAGAAAATCAAAGCCTTACACGGTCTAGCTGGATCTTAATGCTTGTATGATTCTTATGTGAATTTATATACTACGTATGTAGTCCCACAGAAACGCGCGCCGGAAAATTTCCGGTCTTGAAACGCTAACTCTACTAAACTACCGCAGTAATATCACGAGTTAAATTGACTAGCAATTTTAACAAATTTTTGATGCTTATTCTTAACATATTAAAAACTGTAAATAATTAATTCTTATTGCGAAAAATATTACCTCGGCCGGGAGTCGAACCCGGATCTCTTGCATACCGTGCGAGCCTTTAGTCCTGAGCCTTTAGACTACCGAGGCAATCAAGTCATTTTGTCATTTAAAATGTCTGAAATTTTCCAGTTTTCATAAAGTTAATATCTTTTATATGAGAACATATGCAATTTAAAATGATAATTTTATTTCATAATTTATAAACTCGTTACAAATAAATTTATATTTTAAAAAAGCGCTATCTTCGGTATTTCATTGATAAGAACATTTTATTTAACCTGCATTATCGAGAGAAATCAAAATTTGTTTCGCACAATATTACACATTTATTATATAGCTAAGAAGAATGTACTATAAACATAATTGCAGATTTCGAAGCATCATGTAAAAATTCTCTATACAAAGATTAACAAGAACTGCAACATTAGAGATAATTTACATAATAATTTTTAGTTACGTTACTCCGCATACTTGTTAACAAATTGTCTGAGTTTGTCGGTATCTTGAAGACCGACTATTCTCTCTAGAACCTTGCCATCCTTCATAGCAATGAGGACGGGCACCGATCCGACCTAAAAATTAGTGTACAATGAAATATGATTCAAATATCCAAGTCCAAAATTAATCATAAAAAATTACACTCATACAATTGTTCAATTATAATCCTGAACTTTCACTTGGGAAACTCAACTTTAAAGTAGTTACACAAAATCTATCAATCAATTTATGAATTTAAAAAGACCTGTTCTTTTTGTTAGCTGAACCTGTACCATTCATCTTTTCTTTTTTTTTCTTCATTGTAGAGAGAAAAAAAGGAAACGTGAACCATGCAAGATGTTCAACTGAAAAGAATAGACCTAATGCTTAATGACTGTTGTACTGATATTATAAAAAAGGATACGTACATGATAATCTAGAGCGAGGTCTGTATGCTCGTCAATATCAACTTTGGCTAACAGTATCTTTCCCTGTTTTTCGGCAACAACCGTTTCTATTCTTGGGGTCAGCATGCGACATGGATTACACCATCTGAAATAATTACAGGCAGGATATTTACTGAAATCTTGTAGAAAATTCCTTCAGAATTCCTGGGTATTTTTGTTCAAAGTTCCAGGTAAAATTAGAGAATCTTTTAACACAACTTTAAAATAAAGGAATGCAATTGGAGTACAAGCAATGCAAATAAAGTATAAATTAAAAATTAATTAAGAAGACAGAGATTTCATAATAAATATGTACAGTCTTGACTGTACTTATCGTTTTCTACAATTAGAACTGCAAAATATATTAGGGTATAGGAAAGACTTTATACATACAGTATTACTGAGCTATTTTATTCTGCTATGAATACCATCTTCTACTGTCAGCTTGATTTATTTAATAAAAATTTACGAGACAGTTCTATTGAAACATGGAACTACAAATCCACATAATACTTACGTGGCAAAAAAGTCTACGATAACAGGCACTTTGGAGTTCATCACGCGCTCATGGAAATCTTTGTGATCCTGGATCTTGAAGGCAGCAGATACCATTTGTTCTTGGGCAGGTACTGTGGTGTACAATCTACTGCCCAAAAGGATTCTGCTAGTACGGATAGTCTGAACTCCCAAGCGCTGCATCTTTCAGCTTCTTAGTTGTTCACTGCTCAAATAAAACATGCAAAATTATTAAACTATACATCAAAATAGAATTATCTCCTTTCTGTTTTTTCTCTCTTTCTTCTAAATCCTTTTAACACTAAAAATATCAAGCAATCAGTGATCATTTCTATTTTTTAGATTAATATTATACTTCTTAAAAGATAAGATTCTTAAATTGTTTGACTTATCAATAATTGTATATATATCCTTTCCCACACACATCATTAAATTAAATTAACATTAACATTAAATATTTATGTGGATCATCTTTTGAAATATTTCAATAAAATATTTTAGAAATATTTCATAAAAAATATCTGAAATATTGCAATAAAATATTTCAGAAATACATTTAAAATATTTTATGCTGGCGCTTATTACACATAGCACAAAAATATTTGATTTTTCATCACTTTCTTTATATGTTTATAGTAGTTGCTTTCCATTTTCACAGAAATGATAAGGAGTTTAAAATAATATATTTTATACTTAAATAATGATGTCACTTTGATGATAAAGTTATCATATAACAATACAGGTTTATAACCTTGCATTTAATGAGTCAACAAGACTCACAATCAGTAAAACACATCGTTTTGAGCTTGTGTAGATTAGGTAAAATCTCAGTTCAATTACTTGTTAGAATAAAAAAGAACATGCATTCAACTGAGTTATAACGTCACAAATGTTTGAATTTTGATACGAATGGAAAGCAACTATCAATTTATTTACTCAGTCCTTTTAGTGAATAAGAAACGTCAGTGCTTCTAGCATTAATTTTCTCTATAACTTTGATATTACATCATATATTTCCAAATTACATTTACATCTACAGATTTCATGATTCAGTTTAGCAGGCCAAAACGTTGACAAATACCGCGGACAATACGTGAAAACGTACATTCTGACATTCTGACATTAATATATCAATAGCTATATTAATAATTAAAAAGTAGCTTGCAACGTGATTCGAAAAATGTTTAGTAATCGTTATTGGTTGAATGTCATAGATCTGAATGCGAGAATCGAGATTCATTATTTTGATATGATGAAGCGTATAATGTTTTTTCTTTTGTCAACTGTTACTCTTTTTTTCCGCCTTTATATTAAAAATTGCGTCTGCCCGAATATTATACGTTTGTATTATCAGAATTGTTAAATATATTTGTCGAGTATACAGAAGTTCTTGTCCGTCTTAATTAATATAACAAAAAAAAAATAGTCGTTTTAAGAAATTCAGGCTGAAAATAATGTCTGTCGACATTGAAAATTGCGTTCATTATTTCGTCATAAAAGTCCTTCGACGTTAATTAATCACTTTTTTTATCATCACCTTGTATATTTCGTGATGAAAGACTGCGATTGCGCCAAGTTGCATCAAACTTCGGTTTTCACGCACCTCGATATATTAATACTCGTATCGATACGTCAATTTATTATATATCGTCTGCGCATTTCATTAATTTTCTTTTCTATTGTCAAATCTAAACATTACAAAAGTTTGCAACACTCACCGATAATTCGCCAAATACTCACCGATAACTCACCAATAACCTGAATAACCTATCATTACTTATTAAAGGCTTCCTACGCACGCGCACAGAAATTGACGCGTCAGCTGACGCAAAGGTTGTTTACACAAAAAGTACTGTACTTTTTACACTGTTTTAAATTTATATTCCTTTTTTCTAGTCGTAATAGATTTGTTTGGGTTGTTTGGACATTTTGCCCTCAGTATCATCGCTTTTTTCTTTTTAAGTATAAATTTATCTTGTTTTAAATTTTTTTGTAAGGGTTTTGCAACACAGACAGATGAAAAATGCATGAAGTTCAGTTATAAGAACAAACTTATGTAGTGCAAAAAGTACAGTACAGCAGGAAGCGTAATATATCAAATAAGTTGTTTCAGTGTACTGTTTTCCAATATTTATTGGAGTTAAAGCTGGTTAAAATGCAAGACTCCGAATAGAAGTAATAAATAACTGTGCTTCGATAAATTAGAAAGACAAGTGTTTAAAATTTAGATACGTTTTTTAAACTTAAAAAAATGTAAATATATGGGGCCTTGTAGGTTATATTTTGAATATCAATCTGAATAATGCATAATTAATTTTTATTGGAGTTGAGAAATATACTATCACGCAGATCGTTCAATTATATTCTGTAATTATTTCTCTAACATATATATGTATAAACAATTGTTATTTAAAGAAAGTTAATAACAATGAAAAAATTAGATGCTGCTGTTTAACTTGGAACAGTCACCTGGTGAAAGTGCTAAAGAAAAACTTTTCCAAGGATCCTGTAAATTCATTTAGGTTAAACGAGAAGAGTGGAATAATTTGCTGTGATAGAAAAGCAAAATCACAACATTGTAAGCAAAGTTGTATAAAATCATGGAAAGAATGTATCCCACAGGATGAAAATTTAATAAAAGAAATTTTAACTTTCTAATTTTTTTTAGGGTGAAATTGATCCATTTGTAATATCGAGACATCTAACAAACAACTAAACGGATTGTTGTACGTTCTGTTACATCTATAGATTTTACAAGACTGGTTTTTCAATTTCATTGTAAAACAAGTAGTTTAATGCCAAACATAAAAGATGAACTTATTAAGAATAAGCTTTATAGGATTTCTTATACCTACTCTAATCTTAAGTAAGAAGCAATTTATTAGTAAAAAAAAAATTAATTTATAAACAATACAATTAAAAGAAGGGCTACGAGCCAAAAAACATTAACTTTAATATTTTAATTTACACACATATGTTTAATGTTAAAAATCATTCAACCGTAAATATGTAAATCGTTCATAACTAAATTTATTCTTTATGTACATTGAAAATGACACAAACGGTGTCGAAACATATGTGTGTAAATTAAAATATTAAAGTTAATGTTTTTTGGCTCGTAGCCCTTCTTTTAATTGTATTGTTTTTTAACTAATTTATAATTCTAAGAATATTATATTTGATTTATTAGAATTAATTAAAATTTTTGTTTATTTATCTTTTATCATGTATTCTTTATACGAAAGGAATGTTTCTATTATTAACTATTAACTACTCTTTAAAATTTTTAGAATAAATCTTACTCTTAAAGATTGAAAATTAAACCATTCTTTTTCAAAATTGGCTCAATTTTTATTGTTTAGAATGAAATTCTACTCCAAAGAATTTAGAGGATACATAAACAGTTGTCAAATATTTGAATATATTAATCTCTGCTGTAGATATAAATAATGATATTTGCTTGAACATTTTTATCAGCTTTAAACTATTTTTCGAATTAATACCAAGTATATTATCTATAACTTTTAGTTAGTGTCATAAGCAGTGAAGAGGTTGTGGAAGAACTTGCAGCACAAACCGGATCTGAGGATTCTTCCTTCAATCAAGAAGAAAATAATGAGATTCATACAAACGAAAAGAATGAGTCTGTAGAAATAAATACTGATGTCACAGTAAACGTCACTGATACTGTCTCAACTAATACTACCAAAGTTAATTGCTCATCAGATAAGATCTACGGCCCTGTTGAGGTTCTACAAATTTTATGAATAAAATAGCACAATATGTGGAACAAACAAAATCATGCTAATAAGCTATCTTTCTTATACATCTGTTTTTCTTACAGATTGTCAATGCAACAAGACTCATGGAGCTATTAATGTTGGAGCCTGGCCCATCAAATCGCTCCAGAAATGACAAAGATGGTAAACAATTACCAGGAACATGCGTTCTTGTGTTATTTTATGCCAGGTGGTGTGTATTCAGCAGTCAAGCTGCGCCACATTTTAATGCTATACCTCGTTCATTTCCTCATATTAAAGCCGTGGCAATTGATGCTATAAAACACCAAAGGTGAGCGTACAAAATTAGGAAACAAAAAAGTACATTTTTACAATCAGCAAAATGTTATTTTGCTTGCAAATTGTTAGCAAATTCGCTAAAAATTTTCAGCGAACTACCATCAACTACATTAATCTTGTATTTTACTGACTGACGTAATGTGAGAGTAAATTATTCTCAAAAACTAAACAAATATTAGTTCTTAATTTGTTAACTGGTCAGATCGTTGGAAAAAACTTTGTATGATTTGTCGACAATTTATTCACAGCAGATTTTGTTATATATTTTCTACCAATTTGTTAGCATTATCAATTATAATAAAATTCACTCAAATCAAATTAGTACCTTTTTAACAAAATTTCTAACAGACATTTGATAAAATTTCTAACAAGCATTCGACAAAATTCGTTTTTTATAAACTTGGCTGACTAGATTTGATTTTCAAAATTAGGAAGTGCGAAAAGAAAATTGATTAAATTATCTGTTTCTTCTCCTGTGTGTGGTATTTGAAATTGATAATATGATTTTAAAAAATATATCGCTTTCAGTTTCAATGCTCAGTATGGGATAGTCGGAGTGCCAACATTGATGCTAGTTCACAATGGCAAGCCTGTCGCCAAATTCAACGACACGATTTACACTCTGGAGTCGTTTGCCAAGTTTGTATCCCATCTAACAAATCTGCAGCCGAATGGCTCATTATATGTTACATCGGCGGATTTTATGGGGCCGGTTTCGAGTACGCCTTCCAACGAGATGGACTATTGCCTGGTGTTATCGTGGATCTTTATAGTTGCTTGCGTGCTGTACTTCACATCGCGCAGCAGATGGTGGCAACAATTTGTTGAACTTATTCAGAACACATGGCTCGAAAGTAATGCGGAGCATGAACACGTCGATTGACTGAGGAGACTTTTGGCCCCTTGAAGTCCCCTCCAAAAAAGTTATATCTCTGCATGGTTACTGAGCCATCTTTTGAAGGCTGAAATCCTCGGGTTAAGAAGAAAAAGGAAAAGAAGAAGAAGATGTCGATTAGAAAAACCATATTAAACCGTACGATTAATCACTGAATTATTTATTTATCGAGGTTTTATAAATATGTAAATAGAAAGGGAAAAATAAATAAGTATGTAAAAAAATACTAGCAAAAGGAATTCTTTAAAAATTAAAGAATAGTTTAAAGTAATTTATATATGAAATTATTAAATTTTATTATTTATTATACAGCTAAATTTTGATTTAGTTACTACTAAAAAGTTACTTTAATTGTAAGTTATAATAATTACTCACAAGCAAAATTAGTACTCATGTGGAAGAGTAAAGTAATCTCTCACGTTTAATTGTTTAATTTTTAAAATAAAAGTGTAAAGGTGCTATTATATGATCCGTCAAGCGTCAAGTATCTGCCAGGAAATTCGTTTCTTTTAAAATTGCAAATTACTTAATTCTATTATTATTGAAAAATATCTGTATAGATTCTAAAATTGTGTGTAAGATCTTACCTTATTTAAGACAGATTTGACAACAATACCTATTAAAATCCGCGTTTGTTATGTGGAAGTTAATACTTCATTGATGTTAATCCACCATGCATATGCAAAAAAATCATGTCGGAAACACATGCAGAACATACAGACGTACAGAAACATTTGGATTGGCGTCTCTTTGTATATACTGATATATACTCCCAACTAATTCTCATTCAACTTTGTAACTTTTGTTGACATAAGTTATTTATTTTTATTACTTCTGCATTCTTGTTCGTAAGTGTTCGCACGAGTTTGCGGTGCTAATTAATTCATTGTCGCGCTGATTTTTATTTTGCTAAGGTAAACAATTAGCTTATAATATAATGTTACATTACATTTTCATATTGAGATACAATAAAAGGAGAATAATATTAGATTAGGAAAAGTCTCTTTACAAGTTAGTAATCTTTCCCCATCAATATCTTCTGATAGTTAAAAACGATTGAAATTTAAGAAAAGGATTTTAAAGCTTGAAATCGCTACTTTCGATTAATTACTATATTTTTTGAATTTATGTGTGAGTTTTGTAATTTTTACATATAGAAAACTATACGAGCTGAAAAAAGTGAAAAATTTTCTTTTCACTTTGTAGATCTGTGGCGTGCCAAAAAAATTGAGTAAATTTTCGACTATGGTGAAAGCTTGAAGCCCTACCCTACAAAATCGTTTTTTAAAAATGTTCCTTCGATTTTTTGTTTCTAAGTTACGCGAATTAAGTAAAAGGGAACATTTTGATTTTATTACTCGTAACTCCATTAAAAATCATCGTATCGCAATTAAAAGTACAGATTCTTAAAGCTAAAACGTTGCTATATATATATATATATATAT